CAATGAGAGAGAGACCTTTGCTCTTATCCTTCCTGGAGCTGGATGAAGCACTTTTAGCCTGTGATCCTGAGCTGGCTTCAGCCTTCAGTGAAGACCCTTCCGTGGGCCTCTCCCCTGGATCCAGATCACTGCTGTCCTCCTCCTTTGTCAGCCTTTCACTGTTCCAGCCTTCAATGCCTTCACTGTCCCAGTCCCCCACTCTCTCCCACTCACATTCTGTGCTGAACTGGGACTGATCTTCTAAAGACATTGGGTGTTGCTGCCTAGAGTGGTGGTGTGGTGTCTGAGGAACATCCTTGATGACCAAACTACTGCTGTCCTCATGCTCTCTCTCTGCTCCCTCTTCTTCTGTTTCTGACTGAAGCCAATCTGATGGGGGAGCTGGCAATTCACTACTTGTTTCCAAAGGAGATACAGTTGAGAACTTCTTGCTTGACACTTTTGAGACTTCAGAACCCTCACTTGAAACCTCACCAGCTTCTTCAGTTATCTGGCAACCTTCATGGTCTTGCTGCTCCAGAAAGGTCCTACTCATGTTAGGTGATGGCGGAGGTGGAGATGGCTCACAAAAGTACCTGTCAGCCCAATCCTTGGGCTCTCCAGTATATAGAGACGCAGATGTCAGTGGCCTTCCACCTGCAACCCTGTCTCCTTCTTCTGGAAGGGGCTCACTTTCTTCCTCAAGTAATTGGGCACTCAGTTTCTGCCGGTGCGCTCTGCCTGCCTGTCTGATGAGTCCCACTTCCACATTCTCATAGCTAGAATATGAGGAGATGACACAGGCAGGAAGTACGAAGAGACCCAAGGCTCTCTGGGTGACGTGGGTCCTCAGCAGAGGGTTGGCTGCCACTTCAGAAGGCTTGAGAAGGTTTTTCTGTCCTGGGAGATAACCCTGTGCTCTGCTCTCTGCGCAGTGGATCTTCTTCTGGGCCTCACGGTCTTCTAGAGATGCCATGGACCTGGTCCCTGCATCAACAGCCATGGGGAAAGCTTCCCCTTGCTGCTCCCCCCTCTGATCTGCATCTCTTTCACAAACTGCAGTGCCATACTCATAGGGAGAGAAGGTCACGTGCTGCATTCCTGATTTCCTCAGTCCTGACGGAGGTGCGCTGCGCCTTACCATTCCCTGGATGCTGCATTCCAGCTGCCTTGAAAACCTCTCTTTATCCCAGAGCAATTGCTCAACAGAACTGCTTGGTAGTGGTTCTGCGCTGCTCTCCAGAGAGCTGAACGATGAGGAGCCAGAAGCTTGGCTGTCTCTACGGCTGGCATCATACTCATAATAGCTGGATTGAGGAAGGAGCAGGGACAGGCTTCCGTACTCCTCTGGCTCAGGAAGAGCGCATGGGTCTTGCCCGGGCGCTTCCTGCTGCAGCGGGACACACGGAACCAACTTCAACTCTAGTTTATCATGCGGTGATCTTCCTTTAGGACTGGAGAGTCTTGCTTTACTTTTTTCAGGTTCTGCCTCCTGGCTGCTTCCTCCCTCTGATGCTTCCATCGCAGGAAGGGCTTGTGGAGAAAAGGAACAAGGGGGCTTTTCAGTAGACCCCCAGGAGCCAATTCTTCCTCCATGCTCCAGTTGGAGCCACATTTCATTCCGGTAGACTGGTGATTTCTTCGGCGGGCTTGAGTGAGATTTGAGTTCCGTCTCTGCAAGAAAATTTGCTCTGGTTGGTTTATAGTAGCTGTGAAATCTGGACTCTAGATGGGGCAGAAATGTCTTGAACAATTCTTGAGTTTGTTTAGGAGCTTGTCTCCCAAGGGGAGTTGCCAGGTGGTCCCTTCTGTCTTGCGCCAGGCTCTTGCCAACCATCCTCTCTCTCTCTGCAGCTTGGGGGCTCCCAGCCATGGGGCTCAGTGCACCTGTGACCTGGCAGCTCCCCCTAGCATCTTGCATTCCCCCTTCTTCTGGAAGCCGCTCTGCAGCTGTGGCCCCCTGTGGATGCAGCTCAGGGAGTCTCCCTTCCTCTTCTGCTGAGAGGGGGCCCCCCTCGGTATTTCCTTCCTCTTCGTATGGCAGACCCTCAGAATTGATGCCTTCTCTTGATGCAGCCTCTGAACTTTTGCCCAAGACCCTTATTTCCTCCTCTTGTTCCTCTGAGCTTCTTCCATTTGTGATTTTCCCAAGAAC